GCCATCCATCTATTCACACCAACCTCACATCACATCCCCTGAAACTGCCAACGCAGCGAACACCAACCAAGCAGCCAGTTCACCTCAGCCAACATGTCATACCAGCCCCCACCGCCACCAGGCAACATGGGTCCACGTAAGCACATTCCTGGCTGCTTTTTTCCGTTCCCTTGGCGGTGTGTGTGTATGTGTCTGTCTGTCTGTCTGTGTGTGTGTGTGTGTGGTCTGTCTGTGGCCTGACACGAAGAAGAAGCCGTTGCCAGCAGTTGTTGCACGACATGCTGGTGTTGCCTTGATTGCGTTGTCCATTTCCCACTCACTCACATCACTGGTGCTTGCATCTCAACTCAATTATTCCTCATATCTGGACTTACTCCCTCTTTTATCTACCGTTTCCCGTGTGAGCAGCAACCTCACAGCCTGGCATGTACCAGCAACCCCCGCTGCAGCCACCGCCGCTCTCACAACCGGTACGAGCGCTCCTCCATGCTGCTGTCACTGTTGCTTGCTCTCCAGGCTCCAGCATCGCGCACCATGCCCTGCCATATCCACTCTTAATCACACGTCTTATCTTATGCATACTTGCACCACGCATCGCTGTTGACAGCCCACGAGCGCCATGCAGAACATGCGGCTTCAGCCCCCACAGCCGGCACAGTCTGCTGCGCCCAGCATGGCTCCTCCGACGATGCTGGCCCCACCAACAACGTCCATGGCCGCCCCTCCCACCCCAGTGTCACAGCCGCCAAGGACAATGCAGCCTCCACCCATGACGCAGCCACCAAGGGCAATGCAACCTCCACCAATGTCACAGCCTCCAACCATGTCACAGCCTCCCACGATGCAGCCACCCTCAACATCAATGGCACAGCCACCGACAATGTCACAGCCTCCCACGATGCAGCCACCCCAAAGTTCAATGTCACAGCCTCCGACAATGTCACAGCCTCCAACGATGCAGCCACCCCAAAGTTCAATGGCAGCGCCACCACCAACATCAATGGCACAGCCACCAGCAGGCCCACCAACGTCTGCGCCACCTGCACGAACAGCCTCTGCGGGTGGACGCCGCCGCCAGTACCCGACCACCCCATATGGGATGACCCAGCCCGCTGCCGTGCCGCCAACACAGCCACCGGTCTCCACGCAGCCCTACGGCGGCCAGGGTGTGCAGCAACCCGCTGCCGTGCCGCCAACACAGCCGCCAACGCGCCCGGGGATGGTGCAGCCGCCACCGCCCATGGCAGGCGCTGTCACCATGCCGCCAACAGGGCAGCCACTGCAACCGCAGCAGCCCGGTGTCCCTCCTCCTCCTCCTCCTGCTGCTACCGCTAGTGGTGGTGGTGGTGGCATGAGGGGGCCACAGCCGCCAGCAGCAATGCCGGGGGTGGCACAGCCCGCAAACGGCCTTGCACCGCCGCGCGCACAGAAGCGGCGAGGGGTCGACCCCGAGGCTGTGCCGTCGCCTGTGGTGGTGGCCCGCGAGGACCAGGCCCGCTACAGGGACGCCCCTTTTATGACCAGCAGCAAGCAGAACCCGCCGCTCGCCAACACACGCGTGCGGGTGGTTGATGAGGGCAACGCCAGCTTCCGTGCCGTCCGTCCCACCATCAGCGCCGTCCCCTGCACCAAGGAGCTCCTCAAGCTCTCGAAGGTGCGCCTGTGACAGGTGTCGGTGTGCCTGCGGGTGTGCGTGGGTGTGTGTGTGTGGTGTGTGTGTGTGTGTGTGTGTGTGTGTGGTGGGTGGGTGGGTGTGGGTGTGGGTGTGGGTGTGGGTGGGTGTGTGTTGTGTGTGTTGTGTGTGTGCGATGGTGTGAATATGACTGTGGTGCTTGCTTCTTCTCTGTTGACACTCGTGCCTCACACTGCTCTCTTGCACCTGGTCTTGCTGCTGTTGTTTCAGATTCCGTTGGCACTGGTCATCAACCCGCTCGCAGACCCCGCAGAAGGCGAGCAGCCCATCGCCACAGGTGCGACCACACGCTGCTGCTGCTGCTGCTGCTGCTGTTTGGGGCTATCCCTGCACCTGGTTGCTCTTTATTTGCTGTTCTCCTCCACGACCATCCATGTGTCTCATGTACTCATGCGCACTTTTTCGCCCGTTACACACACACACACACACACACACACACACACACACACACACACACACACACACACACACACACACACACACACACAAAACACGAACATGCTGCACCCCCTTGCAGCCGACCACGGTGCTGATGGCCCGATCCGCTGCCACCGATGCAAGGCGTACATGTGCTGCGCCGTCGCCTTCCTTGACGGCGGCCGCCGCTGGCGCTGCCCCTTTTGCGACCACACCAACGACGTGCCGGATCACTACTTCTGCAACCTGGACCACCTTGGCCGCCGCCACGACCTCCATGACCGTCCAGAGCTCCTCAGAGGGTCCGTCGAGTTTCCTGCCCCGCCCACATACTGCGCACGCCCACCACAGGTCAGCACACACGTGTGTATGTGTGTTGTGTGTGTGTGTGTGTGTGCTTGAATGTTCAGCTTGAGTCGCAGTGTGTTGCGATACGTGTGCATGATCGGCTTTTGGCGCGGTGCGTGCATGAACACACGTTTCTCGAGATGCACACTGCTGTGTCATTTGTCAGTGAGCTGCTGCACCATCGTTCTCACTCATTTCCCTTCACCATCCCGTCCCATTGTGCACACAGCCACCCGGCTTTGTGTATCTGATTGACGTGTCCTACAACTCTGTGCAGACCGGCATGCTCGGTACAATTCAACAACTTGCAGACATATTGCTGCTGGTGGTGTTTATTGATCTGATTGCTGGCAAGCAATCGTGGCGCACGCGAAAACAACGCGTTGCTCCCTGTGCTCTCGGCCACTTGTCTCCACATCACCCAAGCCAACTCACACTCACTCACTCACACTTACACTCACTCACTCACTCACGCACTCACACTTACACTCACTCACGCACTCACGCACTCACACTCACACCCACACCCACACTCACACTCACGCGCACATGTGCCAACGCCCGCCTATCTACCCACCGCCAGCTGCCGCGTGCCAGGCGATTCGCAAGTCGATTGCGGCGCACGCAGAGAAGTTTGGAGCACAGGGGCGGCCCTTCCGCGTGGGCATCATCACGTTTGACAACGAGGTGCACTTCTACAACCTCACGCCGTCCCTCGCACAACCCCAGATGATGACCGTCTCCGACATTCAGGACATTTTCGTGCCCCTCCAGTCCGGCCTCCTCGTCAACGCACGGGAGGTGCGCCACATATGTGCATGTCTGTGTGCCTGTGTACCTGTGTGTGATGTGGTGTGATGTGTCTGTTTGTGTCTGTCTGTCCATTCATCTGCTGCTTTAAACCCACTGGCGTTACTCCACCTCTACCCTCACCTCACGCACACTGTACCCTCCCCCCCCCAAACAACCATCGTGCATGTCCCAAAATGTCAGGCGACGGCTGTGATCAACCAGCTGCTTGACTCGCTGCCGGGCATGTTCTCCACATCGCGCGTGGTGACCCAGGCATACGGCGCAGCCGTCCGCGCAGCCATGCTCGCTCTCAAGGACTCGGGTACGCTGCTGGCAATGGTGGTGGTAGTGATGGTGATGGTGCTGTGGTGCAACGGAGGGTGCTCGGTCTGTTCTGCTTGCCCTCATTGTGCATGCTTGTTCATTGTCTGCACATAACGCGCCGCATCGCTTGACACACACACACACACACACGCACGCACACACACACACACACACGAACCGCCATCCACACCATCATCATCATCATCATCATCATCATCATCATCATCATCATCATCATCATCATCATCATCATCATCATCATCATCATCATCATCATCATCATCATCATCATCGTCATCGTCATCACCACCATCGCCATCATCACGGCAGGCGGGCGCGTGCTGTCGATGCTGACGGGGTTGCCTGCTGCTGGGCCGGGCGCCCTCAAGAAGCGCGAAGACAACTCTCTCCTCGGCACCGAGAAGGAGTACAAGCTGCTGGCGCCTGGCGACAAGTACTACACGCTGGCTGCCAAGGACGCCATCAAATATGGCATCAGCTTCGACCTGTTTACCTTCCCGACATCGTACATGGACATTGCCTCCATCGCCCCGCTCGCCCGCGACACCGGCGGAAAGATCTACAGGTTGGTGCAGTGCACGGGAAACACTGGCCTGTTCTGTGCTTTTGCGTTTCGTGTGTGTGTGTTCGTGTGTGTGTGTGTGTGTGTGTGTGTGTGTGTGTGTGTGTGTTGGTGGTGTGCGCTTGCGTAGGTGTGGCTTGTTTCATGGGTGGATGAACAGGGTTACTTGCCGCCCCCCCCCCCCGGCATCGTATCTTCACAACCCACCACCATTCTCACCAACCACCTCCTCACTAACCACCACCGCTGTCACCAACCCGGCGCAGGTACCAGTACTTCCGCGCATCTGTGCACGGGTCGCGATTCATTGCTGACGCGGTGACCGCGGCCCTGCGCTACAGCGGGTGCGAGGCCATGCTGCGCGTCCGCACGAGCACAGGCCTGCGGCCAACCGACTTCTTTGGCGCAATGACTATGGAGAACACGCAGGATGTTGAGCTTGCTGGCGTTGACTCGCAGCAGTCCCTGGTGGTGCGGTTGCAGCACGACGACAAGCTGCCCGAGGGCAAGGACGCCCACTTCCAGGTGGCCATCCTCTACACCAACCCCATGGGCGAGCGCCGCATCCGGTATGCACCTGCTGGTTGTTGTTGTTCTCGTTTGTTGTTGTTGTTCTTTTTCTTGTTCTTGTTCTTGTTCTTGTTCTTGTTCTTGTTCTTGTTCTTGTTGTTCTTGTTGTTGTTCTTGTTGTTCAAGTTGCTGCTGGTGGTGGTGGTGTTTGTGTGCATTTGTGCGTGTGCGCAGTAGTGTGCATTTTGTGAGCCCATGTTTGTGCGTATTGTATGCTGGCATGCGCGGACATGTACACGGGAGCATGCTTTCTGCTTTCCTGTAAGGTCACCCCACGTCCATCACGCTAACCGTGTTTCGTGTCCCGCCTGTGCTGTTCAGTGTGCATACGCTGAGCCTGCGCACGGCCTCGCAGCTTGCAGAGGTCTTCCGCTCCGGCGACATTGATGCCTTCACCACCGCGCTCCCAAAGGTGCTGCCGTACAGATGCTGCTGCTTGGTGGTGCTGGTGTGCATAACTTGAATGCATTGGGTTTGCACTTTTGAATGCATTCACACATTCGTTGGTTCGTGCGTGCCCGCACCTGCTGCACTTTTCGTTGCCGCTCCCCCACCTCACGCTCCCAACGCCACCATGACGAACGACACCATCTCCCCGTCACCAGATGAACGTGCGGGAGGCGTTCAAGGCGCCCATGTCGACGCTGCGCACGAAGATGACGAACAAGACGGTTGCGGTGCTCGCTGCCTACCGCAAGCACTGCGCGTCTGCCAAGACGGCATCCGGTGAGCTCGTGCTGCCGGAGTCCCTCAAGCTGCTCCCCGTCTACGTCAACTCCATCCTCCGCTCGCCCGCATTCCGCAGAGGTGTGTAGCGTCGTGTTTTGATGTGTGTGTGTGTGCGTGCGTGTGTGTGTGTGCTGTGATGTGGTACTCTTGTTGCTGTGCATGAACTAGTAGTTCCTTTGTTCAAATCTCACCACGTGCACACATCCCACCACCATCTCCACCACACCTTCCTGGCAGGCACGGACGTTGGGCCAGACGAGCGGGTGACGAGCCTGCATTATGTGCTGTCGCAGCCGCCCAAGACCATCATCCCCTTCTTCTACCCGCGCCTGTATGCCCTGCACACCGTCACACCAGAGTCCACGGGCCTCCCAGGTGCGACCACGATGTTCTGTGTTTGCGTGCGTGCACGTGTGTGTGTGTGTGTGTGTGTGTGTGTCTGTCTGTCTGTCTGTCTGTCTGTCTGTCTGTCTGTCTGTCTGTCTGTCTGTGTGCAGGTGCGTAACACATTCCTCACCCCGTGCTGCTCACTCCAACCCTTCGCCAACACCAACCTCCCCCCCCATCCTCTCGCACCGTTGCCTGCACCAGACGTGCTTCGCCCGTCGATGCGGTATGTGCAGGAGCATGGCATCTACCTGGTTGAGAACGGCGCCACGATGATGATCTGGGTTGGCCAGAACGTCCCGGCCTCCACCGTGCAGCAGGTCAGTGCCCGCTTGCTTGCATGAAAACAAGGGGGAGAGCGAAGCAGTGTGTGTGTGTTTGTGTGTGTGTGTGTCTGTGTGTACGTGTATGTGTGTGTGTGTCTGTGTGTCTGTGTGTACGTGTGTGTGTGTGTGTGCGTATGCCAAGTAGACGGTAGACTGGGAGACAGATTGGCGAAGGAGCTCTTGTTTGTTCACCTTCCTTCTTCTCCGCCACTATCGCCAGGTGTTTGGGGCGGACTGCGTTGAGAACATCAACGTGCAGATGACTGCACTGCCCAAGTTTGACACGCCGCTCAGCAAACGCTTCAACACCATTGTCGACACCATCAACGCGGAATACGGCACCAGCCTCAACCTTCAGGTGGGTGTGAATGTCGGATTGGGGATGTGTGTGGACGTGTGTAATTTCGTGTTTGCGCTCGTGTGTGTGTGTGTGTGTGTGTGTGTGTGTGTGTGTGTGTGTGTGTGTGTGTGTGCTTGCAACTGTTGCCGCCCTCACCTTGTCTACTTTTGTGCTTGCTTGCTCTACGCGACACAATGGCCCATCGTTCGTGCGTTCTGTTTGCAGATTGTCAAACAGAAGGACCCCAACGTCATTTACTTCAGCAAACTCCTCGTCGAAGACAAGGTTTGCTGTGTGTGTGTGTGTGTGTCTGGATGAATGCTTGAACTGCATTTTCGATTCTGATTTGCACTTTGAGTACCTCGTACGCTCACTGTCACACACACACACACACACACACACACTCTCTCTCTCTCTCTCTCTCTCTCTCTCTCTCTCTCTCTCTCTCTCGTTCGCACATCATGTGCGCAGTACCAAGACCAGATGTCGTATGTGGACTATCTGTGTGCCGTCCACCGTCAAGTTCTCGCCGCAAATTCCTGATCCCAGCATGCATCCGTCTTTGCGTTCCATGTGTGGTTATGCATGGGTCACAGCTCTTTGCACGCGTGGTGTGTTATTCATTTGTGTGTTGTCGTGCGGTGTGTGGTCTGTAGCCCGGCTCGCCATGCTCTCTCTCTCTCTCTCTTGTCGTTCGTTGTTGTTCCAAGAAGTGTCGTGTTCCGGTTCACTCGCGGTGCAGTTCTTGTTGCTGCAGTCACACGAACAACAATGAAGCCCAGCCACACAGCTATGTCACATCACATCAACATCACGTGTGGAACAACAACAACAACAACAACAACAACAACAACAACAACAACAACAACAAAACCACACAAAACTCATTTTGATGATGATGAGGCGTGGTGGAACAGCAACAACAAAGACCTTCATGGCGATGGCTGTGGCTGCAGTGGGCGTGCTGCTCGCTGGCATGCTCGTTGCTGTTGGGGTGCAGGGGATTGAGTGCGACAAGAATGAAACGGCGTGCAACCTAACGACGCAGTTCTTTAACCAAAGCGAGTGCATGTGCCAGAATCTGACAGTGTGCGTTGGGTTTAAGGTGGAGGAAGCAGTAGCAGCTTCCCCAACAGCCAATCGCACGTGCGTGACGCCAAAGACTGTGGAGTGCGTGATCCAGCACAACGTACGCGACGTGGCGCTGGCACTGGGCGTGTCCGAGCGAGTGCCTATCACGGTGAAAGGCCGCGTGGTTGACGAGAGCAGGGTGATGCTCCGAAAGGAGCGCGACGCCATCTTCTTGGAATACCGCCACACAGACGAGGCATGGTACCTGCTGAAGCACGACGATAAAGAAAAGCTCGTGCTGATGTGGAAGGGCGAGAGCACGACGCCCACGGACACTTCCGAGGCCGAGATCTTGTTCATCGACCAGCTGCTGACACCGCCCATCCTGCTTGATACGCAAACGCCCCAACCGTCAGTCAGCGTGCGGTGCTGGGCCCCTAGCCGGGCCTCCGAGCTCAAAGGCAACAGCCTCGCTTGGGCCCTCATCATCCCCACCATCCTCGGCGCGCTTGCGCTGCTTGTTGCCGGATACTTCCTGCATCTGGAGGAGTGGCACTTGTCGCCGAGCGGCATTCGCGACGTCGCCGACTATGCAAAGATGCTGGAGGAGGAGGAGGAGGAGGAGGCTTTTGAGAATGACGACGATGACGACTTTGCACAAGACGTCGCATATGCGCAGCCTTGGGATGGCAACGGTGGTGATCGCGACAAGGACGCTTCAGAGGAGACTCTCACCACCGCATAGGCCTTGCTTCGCCTCTGTGTGTGTGTGTGTGTGTGTGTGTGTGTGTCTGTGTGTCTGTGTGTCTGTGTGTGTGTGTGTGTGTGTGTGTGTGTGTGTGTGTGTGTGTGTGTGTCTGCGCCTGTGTATCTCTGTGCGTCTGCTGTGTCTCTCTGTGTCTCTCTGTCTGTTGTGTACGATTCACATGTGTGTGGGAGTGGGCATCTGCATGTGTCACATGTACTTGTGCCTCTGTGCGACTGGGTGTCGTCTGCTTGTTCGCTTATCCCCATGTGCGCGTGTGCCTCCAACACACACCAGCCCATCTTGCAACTGCCACCCCTTATTCTGCCTCCCTGCTCGCTATTTCTCTGCACAGTTTGTACTCCCCCCCCCCACGTCTTGTTGCGTGCACCATGCAACTCTTCTCGCGTGTCTCCTGTCGTGTATTAATCGCATCAGTTAATGAATCAAATGCACCAGCCGAGCCAATACGATAGTGGGAACAACAGCGTCCACGAGTCGATAACACAGAAACACCTTGTGTGTGTGTATGTGTGTGTGTGTGTGTGTGTGTGTGTGTGTGTGTGTGTGTGTGTGTGTTTGGGGCACATGCTGATGCTTTAAGCATAACCGGGCTCCAGCCTGCGGGCGCAAGTCACTGTCATTCATTCAAGCCCTTTCCGCCATTACTGCCACTGCGACCATCATAATCACCGTCGCTATCATCACCAGCATCATCGCTGTCATTGCCACCATCATCACCACTGCTATGATCATCATCACCATCACCATCACCATCACCACCATCACCACTGCTATTATCACCATCGTCGCCGGCTACATACTCAAGGACTGCATCCAAGGTCGCACACACAACGCCCTTGTCTCTGTCCTCGTGGCTCATTTCAATGTACTTCATGAGATTTGTCGCAACACCTATCAATAACACAAAAGAAAGAATGGTGGGCGGGGCGGGGCCAATGTCGATGTGTGTGTGTGTGTGAGTGAGAGAGAGAGAGAGAGTGTGTGTGTGTGTGTGTGTTGTGTGTGTGTGTGTGTGAACGTGTGTGGGTATGTGTTTGTGAACGTGTGTGTATGTGTGTGTGAGGGTGCGCCACGATGATTGCACGCAGTGGTGATGCGATCGCACGTCGCATAGCCTTACTTTGCACACAATTCACATAAACACACACAGGTGAACACACAAGCAGACATGCTCAAACACTCACTCATGCACACACACACACACACACACACACACACACACACACACACACACACACACACACACACACACACACACTCATCGCGCACACGCACGCATCCCACAAACGAACACGTACCGTTGCGCTGGATTGGTGGGTATGGTGGAGGCGCTGCAATGTAGTCTCCATCGCGCAGCATGTGGGAACGATCTGAGGAGAAATGGGCGAGGAAGTCGTCTCTCTTCACGACCCGGAACATCGGGTGCAGGCGTGGCGGAAGCCAATCGGTCAGGAACGCCTTGTGCCAGTACTCCTCAATTGGGCAGGGAAAAGGAAGCGTTGTGTCGAGGTCAAAGACGCTTGGCTGACCCGTCTGTGGGTCTGGTCCAATGGCGACCACGTGGTAGTCCCACACCACCAAGCCAAGCTCGTCCTGCGATGCCGCCTGGCACGCCACTGCCACTGTCTTGTTTGGGTTGGAGATGAAGCAGGCCGCCCAGCTTACGGCTGCCGCCGCGTTACAAGCGTTGTAAGCGTCACCAGCGGATATCCTTGGCGCCTCATCATGCAACAGCTTCCACACGTTCTCCTCGCAATAACATCGCGTGTACGTCAGCCCCTCCCTGTCCACCATTGTCACCTGCCAATCAATGTGCAGCACGAAGGAGAGGGAGAGCTCAGAAGAACGGTGTGCTAAACACAAGCTGCGGTTGTGTGCCTTGAATTGCCGAAGATTGTGGCGAGATATTCACTATTCTTCCGAACTTTAAGCGAGCGACCACGACAACCACCGTGCTTGAGTTGTTCTTCTCGTTCTTCTTCTTCTCGTTCTTCTCGTTTGTGTCTCTGCTCCTTGTTATTCTTTCTGTTGTTGTGATTCCTGACTACAGAATCTCAAACAGACAGCCATGTCGGACCTCCGGGCCAACGCCAACCGCTCCAAGGCGTACATTCGCCAGCGTGAGATGGCTGACATGGAGATGGAGCGGAAACGGAAGAAGATCCAAGAGCAGTCAGAAAGGAACGCCAACATTGCCGCAAAGGTTCTTGACGCATGGCCTCCCCTCATCTGCGTGCATGTGTGTGTATATGTGTATGTGCGTGGACATGTGTATATGTGTGTGTGTGTGTGTACATACGTGCGTTCGTGTGCTGATGTGTGATTGTGTGATTGTGTTCTTGCTGCTCACCGCCTTCTCACCCGTTCAATGAGGTGTGCTTCGTTTGGTTAGTTTGCGTCCGAGAATGAAAGCGTGGAAGCGCAGATTCGAGCCAAGACATATGGTCTGGTCACCCTAGAGCAGATGAAAGCTGCTGCAAAGGCTGCCGAGGAGGAGCGCTCCCGCAAAGTGGTACGTGCCTGCATGTGTGCTTGCGTACGCATGTGTGTGTGTGTGTGTGTGTGGTTGTGTGGGTAGATATGTGTGCTTGCATACACATGTGTGTGTGTGAGAGAGCACGGTTGAAGCTCAAGCATCAACTCACAAACACCCGACAAACGCTCAACAATGGCTTCCTCCACCATCACAGGCGGAAGCTGAAAAGGCACAAAAGGCAAAGAAGAAGAAGAAAAACCGCAAAATGGCCAAGGCAAGTCGTGGCGGCAACAGCCACGCGAGGCAGGGTGTATGTGTGTGCGTGTGTGTGTATGTGTGTGTGTGTGTGTTGTATTGTCATCTTTGCGTTTATGGATCGTGTTCTCAAGCACTTCTGTTTCTGTTCTGACAGGTTGCTCTTTCATTTGATCTCGAGGAGGAAGGCGACACAGATGGTGAGTGAAACAACGTCCTGCACTGTGTGCATATCTGAGTGTGTGTGTGTGTGTGTGTGTGTGTGTGTGTGTGTGTGTGTGTGTGTGTGTGTGTGTGTGTGTGTGTGTGGCAGGGGGGGGTTATGCTCACTGGTTCATGTTCTGCCCAGATTAATCGCACCTTGCCCACCGCAAGTACTCATATCACACACCCTGTCCATTGTGATGCAGATGTGCTTGAGAAGGTCAAGTCAAAGGCAGGCAACAACATCAAGCGTCTTGGGAAGAACCCAGAGGTGCGTGAGGGCAGGGGTGGGGATGGATGCTGTGCCTTTGGAGGAAGATACATGTTGGATTTGATGTGCTCAAGCTGTCGCCCCAACAACAGTCAATGCACACATGCGCGTGTGTGCATGTGGACGCACACATCACACACATACAAACACACTCACATACAAACACTCATACACTTACACGTGCAGGTTGACACGTCATTTATCCCGGATGTTGAGCGGGAGGAGGAGTTGCGTAAGAAGCGAGAGGAATTGCGCAAGGAGTGGCTGGAGAAGCAGGCTGCCCTCAAGAACGAGCCAGCAGAGATTGTCTACTCGTACTGGGACGGCTCTGGTCACCGGTACGCGCGCGTGTGTTTGTGTGTGTGTGTGTGTGTGTGTGTGTGTGTGTGTGTGTGTGTGTGTGTGTGTGTGTGTCTGTGTTTGTGTGTCTGTGTCTGTGTCTGTGTCTGTGTTTGTGTCTGTGTACATGTGTTTGTACACATGTGCGAGACACGTCAACAACCTTTGCATGCCTCCTTGCTTGCTGTTCAACATATGCTCTTTGTCCAACCACTCGCGCTCACCTGGTTTTGTGTGCGGTGTGCGTGCGTGTGTGTGTGTGTGTGTGCAGTCGTACGGTTCAGGTCAAGAAGGGCGATACTGTGGGCCAATTCCTACAGGTGAGCAAGCCTGTCATGATGACGACGATGTCAGTGCTGGCCGTGATGGTCGTGGTGATGGTGATGCATGCGATGCCATTGTACATGTCGCCATCATGAACGAAGAAGCAACAGCCTTGTCGCACACATGTGTCCTGTGCCCAGTGTCGTACCTTTCCGCTGCTCACCGTGCACCACCTCATAATCTCACCACCACCCCCATCCTCAACAACAACAACAACAACAACAACAACAACAACAACAACAACAACAACAACAACAACAACAACAACAACAACAACAACAACAACCACTGCGCCTGCGGCTGACAGGCGGCGCTCAAAGATTTGCGGCCGGACTTCAACGACCTCAAGTCGACGACATCTGATCAGCTCATGTACATCAAGGAGGATACCATTGTCCCACAGCACTACACTTTCTATGACCTCATTGTCACGAAGGCGCGCGCTCGCACGGGACCGCTGTTTGACGAGAAGGCAATCGTCGACGTGCAGTGAGTTGGCTTCGTCGCACACACATGTGTTGGCGGCTCTGAATATGTGTATGTGTTTGTTTGCGGCTTTGTTTGTTTGTGTGTCTGTGTGTCTGTGTGTCTGTGTTTGCGGCTTTGTGTGTGTGTCTGCGTGCTTGCGTGTACTTGCGTTTGTGTGTGTATGTGTCTGTGTGTGTTTGTGCAGCTCCCGTCTGCATCACGTCTCAACCTTCTGTCCACCTTCTCACCACTCACGTGCCTGTCGCCTCCAATTCACACATCGTTGTCGTCGTCGTCATCATCAGTGTGCGGAGCGATGCCACCATCGAGAAGGAAACACATATTGGCAAGGTACAACGCGTGCCCTCGTATTTGCGTGCATGCCTCCGCGTATGTGTTTGCGAGTTAGCTGCACATCTATTCTTTCGTTCACCTCCTCACCACCATCCTTTCCCCTTCCCGACTTGTTCCATCATCCCCGTCACCACAATCACCCGCGCGTTAGGTGTGCACGCGCAACTGGTACGAGAAGCACAAACACATCTTCCCTGCCAGCAGCTGGGAGAACTACGACCCCATCGAGTACGCAAAGTACCAGATTGAGGAGTGAACGAGAGTTGACATGTTGGTGGGTTTGGGATTGTGAGTGTGCCGTGGACCTAGCATTGATGGTTTGGTTTGGTGGGAAGCCGGGCTGGTTTTTGGTTGACGACAGTGACAGGCGGAGATGGTTTGTCGCTGGCATGCGGATGTGGTGTGGTGGTCAGTAGAGAGCTGGTTGGAGATGGTATGTGTGCATCTGCTGGTGTGAGTGCTGCTTGAGTGATGCGCATGCTACTCTGCTGCTACCATGTCACATCACCCCACCACTGTTGTCATCCTCATCATTGAACTGTAAGGGCTCTTGACGCAACAAAAGGGAAAGGGAGTGTGTAATTGTGGGGAGAAATGGTAGAAACCAACGCACACATGGAAACACGCATGCACCTGCACACAGGCGTACGCATGCTGGCACAGACAGACAACAAGGGAGGAGAGAAGGGGATAAGGTGGGGAAAACCACATCACTGCATCAGCGTGCGTTGGTGGTCATCTTCTTGGTGATGATGGCTCACACGAGCGTGCGCATGATGCCAAAGTTGGGTGATCCCCAGCCGGAGGCAGGGTCCTGCATGTACACACACACACACGCACGCACGCACGCACACATCGCACATCGTATTGTGGTGGTGGTGATGAGGAACACGTGGGGTAATGCGTGAGGAGTCGTGCGGAACTGGATCGCATCAAACACACACACACACACACACACACACACACACACACACACACACACACACACACACACACACACACAACACACACACACACACACACACAAGCACAAGCACAAGCACACACACACACAGACACACAATACACACACGATGCACATGCATGCATGTACGAAGAACGTACCCATCCCTTGGTGGCCTTGAAGCCCGGGCAGAGGCCGGACGGGTTGGAGCCGCGCTGGATGTCGTTGAACGCATTCGGGTTCTCGGCGCCCCACTTGTACAGCAGCGGGTTGAGGAAGCCTGTGCAGGGAGGGAGGAGAGGGAGGGGGATGGAGATATGTTTAGGCGTGCGTATGCCACGCCCAATGCATCACGCACAAGGTCACACACACATACAACCACACACACACACACATACAACCACACACACACACAACCACACTCGCACCGAGCGGGGGCCTGTTGCTGTTGAAGCGGATGTCGTTGAGGGCGGCGACGACGCCGGCGAATGTCGGGGTGGAGCACGACGTGCCGCTCACAGGCATCGGCACCCCGCGGAACACAATCTCAAAGTCTGGTGGTGGTGGTGGTGGTGGCGGTCATGGTGAGGGGTTTTGGGTGGTGGTAAGGGCTGCGAGCACAGAGTGTCAAGGAGCACAAACGACGCCGATTTCATCATGTCGCATACACACACACACACACACACACACACACACACACACACACACACACACACACACACACACACACAAACAAACAAACAACACCTTAAACAAACACGTGTTGACTGATGTGAACTCACTTGTTGCAAAGGCGCTGACGTCTGGGTATGCGCGGCCAGAGGCGTTGAAGTAGGAGGAGGCCGGGGCAACGCCGCTGTTGAGGTACGCGTTCACGGCGCTCGTCTGGTACTGCGGCTGCCCGTATGTGTTGGAGAACCCACCACCACCGTCGCTCCAGCTGGTGGCGCCGTCCGACTCTGTGCCGCCAACAGACGTGGCGTAGGGGCTGCTCGTGGGCCTGCACAGCACACGCGG